CTTAGGAGCCTCTAGATTTAAATTATTTTGGGGAACACTCCCCCCCCCCCCCTACTCCCGCACCCAACCACACCATTATTCTGTCACTTATAAGCAGGTAAAAACTCCTTTGACACCCACCCACCGCCCAGTCAAACACCCGTTGGTTTTGCCTATATGTGCAGTTCTAAATTTTTCTTAAAATAAACCCTGGTATATCGGTGGTTTTACACGTGATAAAATATCATGTTAAAAAAACTTTTACGTAAACTTTAGCTTTGATTTTCTCGGCTTAAAGGCGGATTTCCAGTCCTCGCAAGAAGCTCCTCGCAGCGAGAACTCGCAGACGTTCTGCGAGTGTTTTGCCGCTCGCAGAAAATCGTTCAAAATTTTGAAATTTCGCTGCAACAGGTCGCAATACTAAACCAATCATAAAACAGCTTACAATCACATGATAATTTGTTTTCAAAATGGCGGCTAGATGGAGTGATAAAAATATAGAAATTTTTTTTAAATAGTTTTCAGATGAATTAGTGGTTTTACCAAATTGTGTAAATAATCAAATTGGTTTGGTAACATCTTGAAATAATCGAAGTAGCCTTCGTGGTCTTCCTCCCGTAATTTTTTAAGTAGTGTAAAAAATTCACTTAATTGTGCTCTCGTTTGGAATATTGGTCTTACCCAAACCGATCGAATTGCCCGATCGGAATGAAACTTGACATAATTATTCTAAGCTAGCCAGCCTAGACCTAGGCCTTCTATTTTTATTTATATATTTTTTTAATATTGAGCGCTTTTTTACATGAAAAGACTGAGACCACGTGATTTGGGGGCGGGGCGGAGGAAGGACGCAACTCACACAGGCGAAACAATAATGTAATAACTACTGGACAGTATAAATCAGCTTTAGTTGTTGGTTTCTGATCAATTTCGGATCAAGAAGTTATGGGGCTAATTTGAGAGCTTGTGAAATCTACTAGGCCTTTACGAGGCAAAAGACCATTACCAAATGCTAGCCGGAAATTGACCAAACCTGCCAAAGATACCTGCCAAAGCCAGCCGAGTAAAGGCCTATAGGTCTAGGCTGATTCTAAACAATATTCCACATCGATTGACGGTGTTCGATTTTTCATTTTTGACTTTAGAATTCTTTAGAAGCAAGACACAAGCATTTTTTGACTGTATTCGCAGCAAATAATATATACATATCATTAATATTCAGCAAATATATCGGCAAACGATAAGAAAGACATTGTCTTGTCTATTGTTGTGAACACAATCACAATGGTCAAAAGCATCTCAAGAATGTGAACGACTAAAACTCGGTCTACGCTGCCAACTTCGAAAACATTAGTTTCACAAGTGTCTAGTTATTTGTTTATCAAGTCAAAATCTCGAAGGTCTTGAACGTTTAACGATTTGCACAAGATCGAAACTGGGTCACGCAGTTCCTGGTCCACTATAATCAGTGGTGTCAAGTGACGAAGTAAAAGTACTTCGTTACTGTACGGAGTACAATTTTTGAGAAGTGAGCATGTAACAAAGTAAAACTTTTTCTGGAGTATTTTTACTTGGAACGAAGTTGTTTTAAGAAATAAAGTTTTACTTCGTTATTTTCATTTTGTCGCGAAGTATTTCGTTACTTTCTCACATTTGTTTAAGGTTACAGAACACCTTTGAGTGTTAATTTTGCCTGAAATTTTTTTATTGGTTTCAATGAAAGAATTAGACCAGTTCTACTATCTGACCAAGTTTGAACGAAAAATGTTGAAAACTCGCAGAGTTATTTAATAAAATACATTACGCTGCAATAAGAAAAACATTGAAAATGTAATATTCAAATTCAATTTTCTCACGAAAAATTTTAC